TTGTTTCTGACTTTTTTGGTGCAGCATCCGTGGAGTACAACTATTCGTCTGGCTGTTGATTTGGAGGCTATGGGTATTGGAGGGAAGTCTGGCATATTTCAGGTCAGGTTTGTAATGATAATTCACTTGCTTTTGTAATTTTACATGGCTTATGAGATATGAGTCATGACTATATGTTCTTGGTACTGTAGAGTCTAGGTAAATGACCTCCGTATAAGCTGTGTCAAGCAGGTGTGTCAAGTCAAATTTATCTAGTTCCAGAAAGTGTGGGACATGCTGAACTTACCAAATCTTTCTAGCGTCATAACATTGCTATATAGGTATTTTATCACTGTGTTAAAGACCAACATCCGGAGAACCAAAATGAAGAAAACAGGGAACTTGTAATTTATTCCCTCTATCAATGTCGCCAAGTGCCCTGATATGGACCATTGTAAACACAATCGCCGGCACCCATGACAGGCTGCGTCTAACTTCAAAGTGCTTGTGCATCATCATGGTCTGGAATTGAGCAGATGGTTCACTTATGGTTGTCCATTCTTTATTGTCCTAGAACTTGGAGTTTATAGCTTACTCTACCTTAAGATGCTCTAAATTGCTGATGCAATCTGGTTACTGTAAATCTTTTATTTTTATTTTTATACTTTTTTAAGTGAGATCATACATATAAAATCCTGTTTAAGCTTACTTTTTCCCTTACGAATATTTCTTCATCTGATAGGCTGATGCTTGGTCTATTGAGAATTTTGCATCGGTAGCAAAATACCCATCTGGCCAAATTATAGGACAGGTTTGTAATTCTTTTTGATAATTTTTGCTTCCTTTTCTCTTTGATACTTTTCATGTGTATTTACTTGGGAAAAGTGCTTTTAAGTCTTAATGATTTTCAGGATATATTTTCTTCTGGAGCCATAAAATCTGCAACAGATTTCCAAGTATATAAGGAGGTTGCTGGCCTTCCAGGGCTCGACTTCGCTTACACAGATAACACTGCAGTCTACCATACAAAGGTTTTTTCTTCTCTTTTGCCCCTTTTTTGGGATATAGTTCTAAAATCTATTCGGAGCATAGGTGTGAGATTTACAGGAGGGGTTAATTAGTGCTTAGCCTTTGCGTATGCATGTAACTTTATTGCCTAGTGGAGATAGGAATGGTTTTAATGTGCTTCCGCCTATTTAATTATGAATGTTAACCAAGAGTATACAAACTAACAGACCTGCCAGATGGGGAAGGGCACTGGGACTTAAGTTGGTTTTCCATGTTGATTGTTGTTTATGATCTAAATTTTTCTTATCATGCAGAATGACAAAATCGAGCTTCATACATTAGGATCTCTTCAGCATCTTGGAGAAAATATGCTTGCTTTTCTACTAAAGATTGCTGCATCCTCTCATCTTCCAAAAGCCAGTGCAGTGGTAGAAGAGAATAAGGGCGAGACTGCTGTCATATATTTTGACATATTGGTATATTATAACTGCAGAAACTTTATCCTTTTTCATGCTTTGATTCTTGACACTCCACCCTTTGGATTTCTTCGTTACATCTTTTTCTTTGTTTCTTTTCCGAGATGGTTTAGGATTTTAAACCTGTAGTGTTCAGTTGCCTTGATAGTCCAGGTTTGCAATGTAGTTCTAACCGTTGTGGAAATTGTAGGGGTCATATATGATCGTGTATCGTCAACGCTTTGCAAATATGCTTCATAATTCAGTGATAGCGCAGTCACTTCTGATATGGACTACATCATTGCTTATGGGTGGTTATCCGGCTGCAATTTCATTGGCCTTGTCATGTTTGAGTATCATATTAATGTGGATATTCGCAATAAGTTTCGCTCTTCTTCCTGCCTTCATTATATCACTATTATCTTCTTCACCAGTGCCATATGTTGCAAACCCATGGCTAGTAATTGGGTTATTTGGCGCACCTGCTCTTATTGGGGCATTAAGTGGTCAATATCTGGGTTATCTTGGTCTGCATACATATTTGTCAAAAGCATACGCCAAGAAAAAACAACTCTCAGCTGATATACAAGCTGGTTTGGTTAAATTAGAGGCTGAAAGATGGCTCTACAAATCTGGATCTCTTCAGTGGCTCATTCTCCTCATTTTGGGAACCTATTACAAAATTGGATCAACTTATTTGGCTCTTGCTTGGTTGGTCCCACCAGCATTCGCATGTGAGTTTATATTTACGACCACCTTTGCTGGACCTATGTTTGATTTAACCATGTTTTTGACGAGGTTACAGGATTTGCTTTCAACTAATTTTAAATAGTTCTCTTCAGATGGCTTTCTTGAAGCGACTCTAACCCCAGCTCGATTCCCCAAGCCACTCAGACTTGCAACCCTGCTGATAGGATTGGCTGTACCAATAGTAATTTCTTCCGGCGGATTTATTCGGCTGGCTGGAATGGTAATTGGGACTGTGGTTCGACTTGACAGGTAATATGACTTATTTATTTGTATGGCTTTATAATGAATTACTTTACAAAATCCTGCAGAACAAGAGTCTATGGTCTGTATGTGTAAATTATTTTTTGTAGCTATTTGCCCATTCAGCAAGCTACTCCTCAATTTTCAATTTCCTCATTGTGATCTGTCCATGACAACTTTCAAAATTTAATCTTTTTGTTAATTCTCCAAAAATTTGGAAAATAACTGTTTACCTTGCCTTGTATTTGCTTACAGGAACCCCGGTGGCACCCCTGAGTGGCTAGCGAATGTTATAGTTGCTGTTTTTGTTGCTGTTGTTGTGTGCCTGACTTTGGTGTATCTCCTTTCATATATTCATCTTTCAGGTTTTTGTTTATCTCAAAGCAGTTGGATTTTTTACGGTGGTGTTGAGTTCTCAAGTGTATGGTGCCATCGATATCATATTAATTTTTATGGAGAGAACTTCACTGCCTTGTTTTATCTTTAAACTAACTTGGATGATTCATCACAATTGCTCTCTAGGTGCCAAGAGATCGATTGTCCTTTCAACTTGCATGCTGTTTGGCCTCTCACTTGCTGTTGTATTGTTGGGTATCGTTCCACCATTTACCGCAGACACGTCCAGAGCTGTAAACGTAAGTTTCTGATAGCACCTACCTCTTAGATGTAGAATTATCAGAGAGATGGGCCATACAGCCCACTTCCAACAACACCGATATTGTCCCCAACTTGGTAATTACCACCTGCACAATCCGTCAGGTGTGAGGTTTTATTACAAAAGGCCTCGGTAATAGTTGGAGTGGGGTTAGGATATTTAAACTCTTATTTTCTCATTGATACGGTCGATGTGGGACATTTCAACATTAGAGTGTCCTTACCTCTTAATTCCTAATTTTGTAAGGTTACCAATGAAACTTTGTACCTTGTATTTATGCTCATAAAGCTGTTTTTTCTGTGCATAATCCTTGATGTTATTGAAATATCGCTAACTAGGAATACTCTGTTTGTCCTGTTAACATAGAATGTTTAGATGTATGCATGTTTACAAATTCTTTATGGTTTTTCAGGTTGTGCATGTTGTAGATACGACAGGAAGCGTTGATGGAAACCAAGATCCTAGATCGTATGTGTCTTTGTTTTCTTCACTCCTGGAAAGTTGACAGAGGAGGCTGAGCAAATTAATGAAGGTTTCAGATGTGGTAGAGACAAAGTTGTTGATCTTGTAACCTTTTCAGCCAAATACAGTTGTTGGACTTATGATGACGGTGACAGTGGGTGGGGCAAATCAGATATACCCACAATGAACGTTGGCAGCGATACTCATGGTAATGAAAGAACAACACGAGTACTACTTGATACAAAAGGTTCAACACGCTGGACGCTTGCTATCAACGCTGATGACATAGAAGATTTCACATTCAAAGGTAAACTAAACTTCAACCATGTGCATTATTTGACCTTGCTATTTCCGTACTTGTATTTGACCTTTATGTTGTTTTTAGCTTTCTCTCACGAGCTTTTAACCTCAGTTGCAGGAAGCTCGGAGGAATTGGCTTCTTTGGGTGACATGAGTAGCGTAGATGGATGGCACATTTCCAGTATTCCGGAGGACAAAATGCACCAACAAGGTTCGATCTAGCACTCTTCTGGTCACAAAACTCTACCCGGCTGGCTCACAATGTTGAAGGGAAGAGAGACGAGCACGCTCCCCTTCTAAAGTTAAGAACTGATGTGGACATAGTGACTCCTAAAGTCGAAAGAGTTCTTTCGAAGCTTCCTCCTTGGTGTTCGCTGTTTGGCAAGTCGACGTCCCCCCACACCCTTGCATTTTTGAGCAATCTTCCTGTTAATTTTTAGGTGCTTCAAGTTTAATTTATACATTTACTTGCATAGGAAATTTCAGATTGAAGAAAAAAACACGAATTATATGTAAGCAGACACACAAATTTGTTTGTTGAAGGATATATGGGTTTTAATATAGCATTACCATTATCATTTTCAAGTGTAATTAAGTTTTGTATTAAGATATCGTCAAATAAAATTGTGTTTATAGTGATAGGTTGCTCTACCTGACACCCTAAAGTTGAATTGTCCGGTAGAAATCTTATATACAGGGATGCTCATTCTTTATTAAAGGACATACATTCATCGATAATGTTAAAAATGTATTTTGATAATACGTCGTTACATTTTCTTGATGACGATAGTATTGATACATTATAAGAGACAGAAATTTCGTTCCATAGTCGAAATATTGTCCAACTGCCGTTAAAACCTCTGGCTATTCTGCAGACATCATCTGTTTACATTCACATACAAGATTTACATGTGAAAAACGGCAATATCTTCACCGTTTACAGGCTTAACTTGCACCAATAAAAACATGGGCATTTAGTAATTTACTCCAACAAGGTAAAAAAAACATGGGTTTTACTTTCAGCCGAAGTGAAATTAGAGAAACGGCACGGTTCCCAACACAAGACACGTGTGAACGGAAAGTTAGGTAACTCAGTTACTCTTGGCGTCGAACACAAAGTGGCTTCCTCATCAGGTGTCATCTTGCTGAAACAAACCACCCCCCCCCCCCCCCAAAAAAAAAAAAGAAAGAATCTGAGAGAGAGAAACAAACAGGGTCCAAGAAATGCGGACGATACCGTTGGGAATATCAGCAGCATCCCCAACCTCCTTAAACAGCTCCTTCCTCAACAGTCTCAACCTCAACAGACCAAACCCTCTTGTTCCTCTTACTAGTTCCACTTCTTCCAGGGTTCCTGTTCCTGTTTCTGTTCCTGTTCCTGCCTACACTTCCCCTGATGACCTCTCTTTCCTTAACTTCTCCAAATCTGGTGGGTAATCCCAAAGTTTTTACCTTTTTACTTGTTTTACTTCAATTTCCTTAATTTCTATGTAAGACTGTTTGGGTAATCTGTAAATTTCAGTTTTGAGTTGACTGCTCAATTGGGTTAAACTTAAATCACACATGTTCATATGGATAACCAAAAGCTTGGATTCCATTTCCCTTTGTTTTTTTTTTTTTTTTTTCTGATTATTGTGGCAATCAAAGAGGGATTTTCCCGGTTTGCGACTTCTGTAGAAAGCACTTGTGTTCAAATTCCTTCTTGCTATGAGCGCTTTTATTAACAAGCAATTTCAAATATTTATAAAAAAAAGTGAAGTGCTTCCTACAAAAGAACTTGCAAGGGGTTACCGAGGAAGCACCTGCTATGATCTATAAGCACTTTTAACTTCTTCCGTCAAACATGGCTAGAAGCCCTTTTGGTGGTTTGATTCAGCTGAGTGATTGTGTATTATATAGTTAAATGAGGAAATTTGGGTTTTTGAGGTCCCATTTTCTGGTTTTTGGGTGTAGGAGTTTGCAGAGCCAGTCAAGTGGCTGATTTATTTCCCACGGTGTCTCCTGAGATTGTGGTCCGGGAGGCGCGGGTAGAGGACTGTTGGGAGGTGGCTGAGACACATTGCAGCTCCTTCTTCCCCGAGTATTCTTTCCCCTTAGATTTTGTTCTGAGGATTGACCGGCTGGTGGCAATGCTGGCCGGATTTTCTTTGCCAAATGGTTGTAAGAGGACTTGTCTGGTTGCTGTGATTGGTAATGCTGGTGATGAAACGTTCCTCTTCGGGAGGGATGATTTTAAGGTTGGCGGTTTTGATGGGAAGTTCAGTCTCAGTAGGAGGTATGTGGCTGGAATATTGACTGTGGATACTGTTGCTGATTTTCTTCCGAGAAAGGGGCCTCTTCGGCAGAGAAGGTGAGTTCATAATTACTTAAAAGCCTTGAGCAGCTTTTTGTTAGCCATTACGGACTATTCATCCGTGTCTCTTCTGAATTTCTCTTCCTCGCATCAGCTGTTGTAGCTCAAATTTCTTCTGTTGTGCATACCTAAATGATGTGTTCTGAGAGTGGGAAATTGGAAATGATACAGTGATCGCTAGCCCCGTTTGTAGACTGACCATTCTATTCAGTTGTAATTAACGAGAGTTCAATTCTGCAAAGCATTAATCCGGTGACATCAGATGTTCATTGTAAAATTTGGCAAGATATATGGCTCCTCTGGTATGCATTCTTTTTTGCTTTTGTTTGCAGGAAAGGAGTTGCATACGTGTCAAACGTTGCTGTCCGGGAGAGTTTTCGGCGAAGAGGAATAGCTAAAAGGCTAATAGCAAAAGCAGAAGCCCAAGCCAGGAGCTGGGATTGCCGTGCCATTGCATTGCACTGCGACTTGAACAACCCCGGTGCCGTAAAGCTGTACAAAGGCCAGGGTTTCAAAAGCATCAAGGTGCCTGAAGGAGCAAACTGGCCCCAGCCCAAGACCGGTCCGGATGTTCGGTTCAACTTCATGATGAAGCTTCTGAACCCCAAGATTTCTGCTTAGACTCCCTTAGGAACATGTGAAGAAACTAACAAGGGAGACAGACAAAAGAAGAAAACATTTAGTAAGACAAAAAAGAAAGTGGAAGAAAAACTAGGATGTTTGAGAATAGGTTGTATATAATTACACACAAGGAAAGATGCATCTGTGCCATGAACTTGTATTTTTCATTGGATAAAACGCTAATTTTGTAAATATTTGGGGGCAGGTCACGGCATCCTTTGCCCCATTGTCTTATGAAGAGATATTTCTGCCTGTTTTATAGTTCAATCTTTTCGAAGTTGTGTAACGTGTCGTGCCAAAAACCGCCTCCCCTGATGTTTACACCGCTCATATTCATCCCTGAACATGCAACCTAGTAACTGAACAGCCATGACCTCCATCGAAGGCCATGGCCATCGTCATGGCGGAACAAAAGACAGCCATGGTACCAGACGGAAAAAAAATAAAAAATAAAAATTGCTGTTGCTCGTATACAAATTCAGAAACAGAGAGACCATGATCACAAAACATACCAGTGATGTCTAAAGGCTCACATTTCAAACGAAATCAAAATTGCAACGTTTTAACATGGACAATCAGATGCTCTCATAATATGCCCCTTAGAATTCCACGTTATTCGACGTGTTTATAGTTCTAAACCGCCCGCCAAAGTACGGCAAACTCAATCGTTGTACAGTGGTATTATATAGGTAAACAAATGTCTTCGAGATTCTATGGTGCCTAACAACCAATGCCGGAAAACACTTCTCGAGGCATGAAGATGCCAACGAAGCCAAAGGATTTTCCGCCTGGATAGATGTAAAATTTATGATGCTTGGACAAATTTGTCTAAAGCAGATGTATCCAAAGCTGGGAACTCCTTCACAGCAGCAAGCACAACATTTCCAAGTAACATGGCACCGCTGTTGCTCGGTGCCTGCAGTGTAAAAATTTGTATCAGTTGCAGTACATTAAGAAATGATTGCAAGTGGTGATGAGTTTTTGCCTACCTCTATGTTAAGGGGAAGTACATGATCATGAAGTGAGAGTCTAAGAAGAAACCATCCGCGGTTGCCAGAAGCGCATGCTGAAGCAAGTTTATTTAAAATTTTGACCTGGAAAAGATAAAGAAAGTTGAGCAAATTTCACAAATCACGAGCCGTATGTCAATCAATGGACAATTAATCTGAAGTGTAGAGAGACCCTTCTGCTGTGTTAAATCAAAAGCCTACCATGAGGTATGCGCCATCATCAAGCCAGTGGTTTTCCTTGAGAGCTCCATGGCCACTTGTCTCAATAGCCAGATGTGATTCCTCTCCGATCGAGTTCTGTATCAACATGTATGCTTAGTTGACAAGAAAAATAAGATGCACAATTAAACAGGAATTATTAACACAATGCTGGCTAGAAAGAAATATATAACTGTGTATTTCACGGGCATGTTTAGTATATAGAAAACAATATATAAAATGCAAAAACTATGCACAAAAGATCTATGGCTTGGACATAAAATATATACAAAAAGGGAATGGGTGTAAGGAAAGAAGAAAAGGATTTCATTGCCAGTAGCTGTTCTAATTGTCGATGGGTGGCTACAACTTGATCGGTTAGAAAATTTTTATTTGGTTCACTGATAGTTCCTAGATTTTAATGTGCAAACCATGTCTAGAAGGACCATATTTCTCCTAACGCTAGATCTAGGACAAAGAACTCCATTGAGTCGTCCTTTCTAATGCACAAAAACATGCCTAGAAGCACTGTGGGGCTTCTAAAGCTACGAGCACTTCGATGCAAGATTTTCTGTTAGTTCTTCCTTAATGATTTTGTATAAGTAATAAACAGTGTAAGAAGGATAACTAGACCGTTTTTCTTACCAAACGAATAGCTTCGTCAATGACATTTTTGTAGCTTCTTTTGAAACGGTGGTGCTTTCCCCCTACAAGAAATTGCTAAAATTATAAGACATTCAATACAATCAGAGAAGCATACCATTTTCGGTTTTTTCGTTCCAAGTTTCTTCTCAATAAATGTGGTGAGACCATCTGAGATTCTGAAGTGACAATAGTTGTTCACGGATGCTAGGAAAAGTATAACCATAAACAATATTTGACACGAGCCTTGGTGCAAAAAAAGAAGAAAAATCTTACCTCCTCAAGGACAATTGCAGACATAAAGGCAATCAGACGATTCCGGTTGAACTCAAGGCCGGTAGAATCCACAGCAGCAGATCTAAGGGCAACACTAACTAGAAAGAAGCAAACAGTGTGAATATAAAATAGATCTATGGGTCGCAAGAAAGTGTACCTATTGACATTTGCATCAAAGATGATCCCCTAATCAGCTTTGTTATCAAGGACTGCCTGGGTGATAGCCTTCATAGCTGTTTTGTCCTCTGGGTTCGGTATATGATTTGGGAACATACCTGATCCAAGAACATCAATTTTATTAAAAAGTTCAATAATGTATGTACAACTTCAATATTTTGCGTTCAACAATCGATATTACCATCGGGCTCCAAGAACTGACTACCAGTAGTGACTGCACCAAGAGGTTCAAGCACTTTTGCCTGATAAAATTGAAATAAAACACTTATGATTAACTTGAGTATGTATTTGAACAAATATCAAACCTTTGTCATCAATGCGCAGAGCATACTGCCTTCAAATTAGAGAATAAATACGAGATAAAAAAAGGCTAACGGTACAGGTAGGAAGCAAATATCAACGTCCAAAATAAGAAAACTTACAGCGAAAAATCCTCCTGCTCCATTCCCTTTGTCAACTACAATATGGAACCCTTCCAGTGGCTTCTCTGAGATTATATAACACAAAACAAATTGGACCAAAAAGAAGATGAAAGCGCATCAGGGGACAAAAATTTAAATGGAAGGGCAATAAGAGAGCTGCTTACAGAAAATTAAGGGAGGAACTAATAATAAAAACAGGTTTTACGAAATGGAGTTGGTGTTGGACACTGAACAGAGAAGTAAACTACAACCAACATTGCACTTCGTGATAGGGATGAAACGATGTATCTCAGTACATTTCCACCACCTTGAAGATTTCATAGAAGTCGTACCTATATTTCCTGCAGCTTTGCGGACTGCCTTTACAAGATCAGATGTATATACATTCATGCAATCAACTCTCTTTACGGAGGCAAGCAATTTTTGTTTTGAGTTTGTCAAACCTTCTACCGTAAATTTATCATATATATCTGCAGCACGCTCAAAGATGTTCTTAATGTCAGGTTTCCCAAGGCCTCCGGAATTTGTGAAAAATTTGAACCCATTCCTGTTGTAAGGCAAATGACTTGCTGTTGCAATAACACAATATATTAGACGTTACATCAGGGGAAGCCAGTAAAGTATCTATCCAAAAATCTAATTCTCTTATATTTCAACGACACTGAAAAGTTTCAGAAACTAAATATAGTAAGACAAGGTACCAAACCGAAGATTCTAAAGTGTTATTACTAAGTATTATAGAAAATGAAGTACTGAAAAGGTACTTGGTAAACATATCCAAGAAAGCGTATGAGTGATAAAACACTTCGCAGTCCCTGCATAACCAGAAAAGTAAAAAAGAAACCAAATTCGAACAAACCGTGGACATACCTCTAACTTTTTTGTAGATATTCAAGAGTCATGGCCAAAAGAAATTCTCAAACGTCGGGACCCATCAGCTTTCTTCTTTTCCACTAACCATGCAGCAAAAGCAGCTGTATTGCTTCTGAAACAGGTTCAGTCAGACTGATTGGCTCTCCTTCAACCCCAGCAATAGCAACACCTCGAATATCACTGTGTATGTAAACATCAGCCCACAAAGAAACACAAATCAAATCAATAATTCCGAAAATTGTCATGTGGCCAAACAGTTGGAAACGTTTTAACTTCAAGACTACTCTATGGTCGCGTCATATGTCACCTGCCATTTTGAAGCTTCAAAAAATCAACTTTGTCAAGTTTGACACTACAGCGGTAGATGGAGCAGCTGCAAGAAATCCCAAATGGATATCATACATTATCCAGAAAGGTAAAAATTTATAGGACCACAATGAAATAGTTGATAAGAGATCCAAAATTTTATAATTTGAAACCTAGGCCATCCAAACAACTCAAATAAAATCTTGTCCATGCCAAAGAAAAGATTTTTATGATGAGCACGAAATAAAAGAGTATTCTAAGGAAGTGTAGAACACTAATTTTAAATCTGATATAGACCTTGATAATGAGAGTCTAGAACAGACCATTGCACTGAACACCTCTTCGGTTAACGCAACTGCTCCAGTATTTTGATAAGTTGTGCAATTGCATGGATGGAATGGATGTACGTGCTAACTTCCCTCGCTAGAAGAGAAGCATGTTGCGTGAGAAAGGGGCAAAATTGTCCCTTTGATATTGGGTGTCAAACTTCCTACTTAGTGTTGTGCTAGGACAGCACCAAAACCGTTGGAACCAACTCAAGCTAACCCACAGATAATATATCAAATGAAAATGCAAGAACAAAATATAAAAGAACACCAAGATTTTAACGAGGTTCCTCAACAGTCAGTGTAACTGGAGTACGTCCTCGGAGCAGTAGGAGCTCACCCAATAATCCACTATCAACCAAATGGGAGTTTACAAAGTGTTGGCAATCTCACAACCCAAATAACCCAATACACCCAATAGCTCTCACACACCACAGAAACAAATAGAGAAAGAAATATAATGTATAATTTCTTCTCTATACATATAGCTTAAAGCTATTACAACAACAATTATGATGGATGATTGCTAACAAAAAGAAGAGCACTTTCTTCTTCTCTTCAACGAAGGGTTGCTGCACCCTTTCTATTTTTTCTGATGCACTCATTTTCTCTGCAGCTCTCTACTCACTCTTCTCTAAAAACAAAATGAGCCTCTTTTTTTTCTCTCTTATTGCACACACAAACCGAACCCTTATTTTTTTCTTTAAGAAAAAGCCAAAGAGACATCATCATCATCACCAATAAAAAATTCAAAACATCATCATGACATCATGACCCCAACTTTTCTTTTCAACAAACATAATCATGATGCCTCCTCATCATGATGTCTTTCACCTTTTTTTTTTATTTTGGTTTGTTTATTAGCCGAAAGTTGTTTTGTTTTGTTGTCCACTTGGCCACTTGGCCACAATTCAACAATCTCCACCTTGGCCAAGTTCCGAAAAACGCCATGATAAGCCAACCAACACAATTAACACACAACATCACTCCCAAACACTAGCAAGAGAACAACTCATACCGAGCCAAATGCTCCAA